ATATTGTAATCCAAGCACCAAAGAATGCTGACTCCACATTCTATAATTATAAAGGAACGCACTCAATAGTTCTTTTAGCTGTTTGTGATGCTGAATATTCCTTTAGAATGATTGATATTGGTATGGTTAGCATTAAAACTAAATAAAAATATTGTGTTTCATGTATGCATGTAGGAGAAGCTGGACGACAAAGTGACAGTGGCATATTTACGAATTGCCAGTTTGGTACTGCACTAGAAGAAGGATTACTTAACATCCCTCCTGATAAGGCTCTCACAGGTATTTCTTATCAGTGAAGTTATTAAACATTTTTAGGGACTTATGAACCATCCTTACCATATGTAATTATTGGTGATGAGGGGTTTCCACTCAAGAAGTACCTCTTACAACCATACCCAGGATGTTACCTTAGTAAAGAAAAGTCAATATTTAACTATAGGCTCAGTAGGGCACGTAGAATAATTGAAAACTCATTTGGAATATTAGCGGCTAGGTATGGCAACAAAATAATTATTATGAATGAAATTTATGCATTATATAGATGGCATATCTTCAGACGGCCCATCATTGCAAACCCTGACCATGCAGTCTCATTCTCTAAAGCTGCTATTGTGCTGCATAATTACCTTAATAAAACTGAAAAATCAACATACTGTCCCCTGGGTTATATTGATTGGGAAGATGGAGCAGGTAACATTATTCAAGGCTCCTGGAGAAACGACGAAACTGAAGAGACTGGAATATTACCACTGGGACAGACTAGTAGCAACAGGCCAGTTCACGTAATTAATAACGATAATAAGCTTGCATTATGTTTGGTTTCTAGTCACTCCAGAGATGCATCTGATATTAGGGACATGTATTGTTTGTGCTTTTTTTAAAAGTGAGGTGGGAAAAGTAAGTTGGCATGAATACCAAGTTCGGCGAACAATTTAAGTCAATGTTGTAACTTTGGAAACAATAATTACCATTAATTTTACTAGTAATTGAAAGATTGTTCATAATGATAATGTTCATGTTCTTTTGGAAATTCAACATTTACCAGTACTTGCTGCATTTGTAACTTGCAAATAGCTTTTTGTTTATCGGAGAGCCGATGCAATGTTGCTGCAATATGATGCCCAAAAAGCTCTTCATCTTCTTTAACAGCTTGCATCCTAGATGCTTCTATGCCTTTTAAGCTTTCAAGTATGGCATAATCAACATCCTCCACCTTTTTGCGTTTCTTAATTGGTGGCGATTGCATTGAACTGGAGGTTGATGCCACTGAAGATGGAGGTGAAATTAAGACACCTTGTGAGCTAAAATGGGATGGAAGTAATGTGAAATAGCTGGATGCATACTTACTTTGCTGAGTCATCAAGTATTAATTGAGCAGACTCATTATTCTCAACTTTAGCCACAGAAAGATCTGGCTCTGCTGGTTGGGCTAAAAGTAACATTACTGACAGTTCTAATAAAACAAAAATATTAATAATAATGAAATGATGTAACAAACTCACTGTCAATGGCGTACAACATCTTGAAGAAACGTAAGTGATTCAAATAGACTCTAATTAGGCTTGTAAGGCAGACCTTCTGTACCAGTGGGTCTATTGGTTTTTTTGAACTCTCTCACAAATCTGTCTCTGATGTTCTTCCACCTTCGTATGCAATCTTTTCGAGATTTGTCATTTTTCCCACTTATCTAGCATTTTTTAAAAATTACTTGTAACAAAATTAAACTAACCTTTGTAGCAACTTCTTTCCATGCATTTTCTTTAGCCTTGATATCTTTATACTCCTTGAAGCCCGTTTGCCACAAGCAGGAAAATAATCTTACTGCCTCTATAAGTGCTTCATCAGCCATTATTGATCACCTGAGCATTGTTTGATACGTGAGCTCCTGTATTTGATTGGCCCAACGCTGGTAGTTTAACACAAGAATAGAGCTTAGCTCTATTTTTGTGGACAGAGACTTACGTTCTGGTTTTCTGTTCACAATTTTTCACGAAACGTAATTTTTAACCGCAAGCAGGTGTAGTAGCCTTGCGTCAATATTCTGAACCCACCTTACCTTCTTCAAAAACATTTGAATTCATACTGCTCCCCCTTTCATGTCACCACTTGACAACTCTCAAAACATTAAGTAATTTTTATAAATAGTGGATCGGTTTAGAAAAGTGAATTTTAGAGTTTTCGTTTCATGATCATATGACAAAAATTTTTTTAAATATTTATCTTCTGTTTAAAAAGTTTTACTGTATTATATAATTGCGTATATTTTCGATAGCTATACTTTAAAACTTAATGTACATCAAATGAGGCGAAGATGAAACAAGTTCTCAAGCAGAGAATTGACAGTTCAGAGACCTTAGTGACTACGTCAAGTGAAAGTAGAGTAAGTTTAAACTCTCGCTGTAATGGTGCAAAAGAGGAGCCAACAGTAATAAAAGCAGTTTTATGGAGAAAAAAACATCAAAATAATGAAGAAACTGCTAATGGCTGTCATGACA